CATTCAATATCTTACTAAAATTATTAACTAATCTAATATAGAATTAAACATACTCTAAATTTGTTTTCAAGACAATTACAAGTGAAAGATACAGAGACAGTGGATTCCGGCTTGACAAACGTACCGTATTCATATTGTTTCACTCGCGCAACTCACAAATTCTACGTCGTCAGAAGAATCTGAATCGTGCTTAATTTACTACAACGAAACCAAGAAACATTTCGTACAAAAACAAAAGAAACATATGTATTTATAACATTTTTATTATACGAGAAAAGCTTTTTGCCAATATACCATAATTGAATGTAAAATAAACAAGCACAAGAATAATAATTTACAAGTACTTGATTCATCATCATTATCGTGTTATCCTTACAATTACCATACCGTTACAAGCAATAGTGGTCGCTAATGACCTAGTAGGTGATGCGACCATAAATAACAAAAAAATTGAAAAAAGAAAGAAAGAAAAAAAAACAGCTCAACAGGGGTAATATTCATTTTCAGTACTTGTTTCAATATCATTTGTAGTAATACTCTGCATTAAAATTCTTCTACACTTGATGCTTTTGTGAAATGCGTGCCCCTCTTAATAACAAACGAATGCAATATAACGTAATCCTCCGTGTTATGTCATGAAATTTGAACTTGATACACAAGGATTTGAACTTCGTAACTCAGCTTTATGACAAATTAAATGGAGGTGCAGATAGAAAAAAAATCAAAATTCTAAGATTCTGAGAGACAGTTATAGTTCTCTGCTCTCGGCCCATTTGTTTCAAATGTTAATTTTAATCATGAGCAAAACAGTAGAGGTTTTTGTTGCGTGTACTTCGAAGCGATTAAGTATTTTGATGTAAAAAAGTATTTGTGCCTTTGGAAGCAATATGTTCCTAGTGGTATTTTTTGTGTAACATATAATTGTAAACAAGCTAATTTTTATGTAGCAGATGTATTAAAAGTAGGACGACAAACAATTTTCTTGTCACTATCTGAAATCTGATTATTCTTCGCAACTGGTCCAATTACGGTTTCTTTGAAACAAAAAGAGATGTACGAAACGAAGTAAAATGTGAAGTAACTTGAAATCTTGGATTAGTAAAATATACAAATAACACCTATTGACCCATTGTCTAGTCATAAATATAAGGTATAAGCAGTTCTCGGAGCCATTTTCCCATGAGTTAGTCAGATGTTCCTTGCCAAGTGTATGGGTTTTTGAGAAAGAACTTCTCACAAAAAGTTGTCAGCTCATAATAATAATTTAGGGTAATACTAATGATGCAACAACATCTCATTTGAAATTAATGAAATTTGTAGGATTCAATGGAAGAAGAAGAAAACATGGTAGATGAACTGTAGAATTAATTAAATACTAATGAGAAGTATCTTGGCAAAAATGTTGAAAGAGCGAAACGCTGTCCACGAGTGTTGACCTATTAAGAAATTTGTTATGTTTCATAAATTCCAAGCATTGTTTCGTTTCGATGTTCGTTGAAAATGAGATTGCGGGGAAACAATTTTAGAGATAAAAATTCTTATTTATTTGTAAAAATGTCAGCAAAGAACTTTTCATTGCTGTGACTTTAATAGATCCTTAATCAAAGATATTGCGCGCAGAGGCATTTGTTGATAAAATTTAGTAACCATATACCATTATATTTGGGAGCTAAAACGAATGAAAATGGTCAATAATCTTCATAAAGCTAATAACATTTTGTATTCTAGTAACCGTAAAATAAATGAAATTGTTTTAACGTTTCTTCCTATCGAACACGTTAAGCGACGCGAAGATTTTCAATTGCCCGTTCACGCCAGGCGCCAGGCTCTTCCGCCGCTGAAACGTTTGCGATCCGCACCCCATCAATGTGATCCATCCCCCTGATGCGAATGTGGGGCGAACTTCCGACCAACCCGTATTTATAGAAGCTCGAGTTGCTCCCAGGTTATTTGTTTGCCCCTCTCCCCGCTCTTCCGCCGGGCTCTTCGTTTTGCTTTGCGGAGATTTTTTTGTAGGGCGGTCACTCGCAGCCAACATTTTGTGAATGGCTCTTCTTGAGCCTCCAAGCGTACACCTGTTGTTCGGTTGCGCGGGGCGGGGCGGGGCGGGGCGGGGCGCGGCGCGGCGCGGCAGAATGTTGTGTTGGCAAGGGCTCAAACTCTCAGGCCGAGGTATCCGTCCAGACGGCCTCGCCTCGCCTCGCCTCTTGCTGCTTCCCATCTGATCCCCCTTCCGCGAGGTATCACGCTATATATAAAATATCGCAAGTATATTTAACCCTCCGGGCGTGCAATAGGGCGGAATGCAGATTCCGAGTGGGGCGAGCGCGGGCGGCGCCGTCGGCTGGTCTCGGATCCGCGTCATCTTCTCGCCAGCGTCTCCGCGCTCGTAGGATCGATGCGAATGTGACAGGTCGCACTGTGGACGTTTCTACAGCCTTCAGTCTAGTTTCCCTAGTAAACGGTGGGCTTTACCTTCGCCGTCGCTCCAGATGTCGTTTACCTACCATTTGTGCGCTTCTTTCCAAAACATTGCAATCGTCATCCGATTTAATAGCGATCTGTCTCGCTACGCACACCATTGTTTCATCTCAACTCGGTCTGAAGCACCGTCCATTGACATATGACCGTTATGAGTTCTGCTTATGCAATATCGCTTCTTCCGAGCTTCAGATTCCATCATCAGATTTGTGACGGAAATCTTTGTACATCCACCAGTAACTCTAATAAGTATCAAACTCCGAAAAAAATATACATCTCCTTCGTTATTTCCACCGTTTCTGAGTCTCCAATTTCATGGGTATTTCGTGGTGCCATAAAGAAAAACGCAAGTCACATCTCGATTTTTGTCTCCACCTCGGCCTGTGACTTTATTCCATCCCCATCACCGTTTCCCCTCACCACCACCACCGCTCCAAGCTGTGTCTCAATGCTGCCAACACCGCGCCTCCATCGTCGAGCACCGTTCTCATCCCTCCTTGGCCATCGCGTCCGCCACCTCACCCCCCGGCGCGGAGGCTGGACGAACGCAGCGCCATCTGCACCCGGCGCGCTCTCCTGTCCGCCGCCGGCAAGCAGCCGCTCGGCCACGGAGGCACGCGAGGCGGCGGTGCGAAGCGCGGCCGCCGGGGCTGGCCTCGGGCATCGTAAGTAGACGGCGCGCCTCGCGCACGCGCATACGCTCGCTTTGGGAACAACCCACTAACGTACACGCATTATCCGGTATGATGAAAATATAATTCGCTCGATCAACAGTTTTAATCGGGATGTTTGGAATCCTAGAATCCAGTAACCTCACGTTTCCTTGGCGAGAATTTTACTAACCTGATTTTATTACTTTTTTTCAGAAGAATTTGCTACGGATACTAGATATCAAAATTAAGAATTAACATACTCGACCGACAAAACGTATTTGGCCAAAAGGACACACCATGCCTTGCTATAATTAATCAAAAATAGGACGTGTGCGAGTATTCACTCTAGCAATCCAATGCCACTCTCTAGAAAACGTGCCAAATAAATGTTGAGAAACTTGATATATCATTAAGACACTTTAAATACATGCAAGAAGTCTGTTATTCTGAATACTTCTCGCACTTGTCGAACCTGTTTCCAATTACATAATTTACAGCAAATGACAATCTTTAGTAAATATTAAGATAATACTCTGATTATCCAAAACAGTATGTTCACCAGTCGCTGTGCGAGTTTGTCTTTTTTTGTCACTTTTATGCTCTATTCATGCCAAAATTGTACGTTATTGGTTTGTACCTCAACTTATTATTTTTACTTTTCACTTTTAAGGTGGAGGAAAATGGCATCCTCCCACGCTATCATATGTTCAAAATTGTTCAATATGTAAATTTGGACATTCATTCATAAACGTTATTCGTTTACCTTCATTTCTATAAGATTTATGTACTTGTCAAAAAAGTGGAGAAATTGCTTAGTGCCTGTATCGAGAGTTACGAAAGAAATCCCACGTGAGTTTTGCTCAATGACATTTTGAAAAGGAAAGTACAGAATTTATTCCAAAAAATTATTTGAATGAAAAAATCGGGGTGAAATAGTGCACGAAGTATTTTATTTATATCGTAAAAGCTCTCCCTCGAACCACTAAGACGAGTGAAAGCAAAACCCATTTCCGTGAAGAGATGACTGCATTTTGTTACTCTCTAGTATTGGGGTCGGCAACCTTTTTGTAACTTCGGGCCACTTTATGAAAGCCTCAATAGCTCGCGGGCCGCACATGTCTCCAACTTCCTTTTTATTAAAAAAATAAAATATTAAGTTACAATGCAATATTTTTACTTATAATATGTCAAAAGAAGCTTGGGATCCAGATACAGTGAAAAAACATTTTAAAGATTGTATAACAAAATTTTCTTTACGAAGACAATAAACACTAATGCAACAGACCGAGACAATAAATGAATCGCTAACTGCAGAAAGGCAATTACTCCGCATTTCCTAATTTCCCAGAAGAAACAAAAAACTGTATTAAACCCGTTTTAAGAAATGTTTGTCTTTACGGTGTATGTTTGCTTAGGAAGGCACATACTACCTATGCTATTAAGTGGCCAACTTTCGTTCCTGCTCTACATAATGCATTGACGTACTCACAACCCTCCCCGTCTATAAAAAATAAGTAAAATTAGGCAAATACAAGAACAGTTAAGAAAAGGCCAGTTGTGCGATGTGTGGAGTCGTATTTTGGATACCAGCTTCACAACACCAACTTTGGAGCTGGTAGTGAACGTTCTTAAGAGTTCTTTGTAAAGTACAGGTCCTTCGGGCTGCGAGTTGCCGACCCCTGCTCTACACTTTGATTTTTTCTATAGTGCCCGGTGACATTGTTTCACCACCTGCCGTATATAAAAGAGCCTTTTTAATTAATACGCAAACGTCCTTCTCGACAGGGCCGGTGGCCTCCGAAACGTGCTTCCCACTGTGGCAAAGAGTCGTTGTCTGAGGCACAGCCGTCGCCCAATCGAAGAGCGATGGCGCTGCGAGCGTTGCTGGCGCTGCTGGCGCTGCTGGCGGCCGCGGGGCCGTGCGCCGCCCACGCCATGCTCAGGGACTACCGCTCGCTGCAACGCAACGTCACCTACCTGCTGGACGCGCTGCTCAGCCCCAGCCGTTACGACAAGCGCATCCGCCCGGGCCTCGGCGGTGAGTGCCACCATCGCGCCTCCGCTGCCTGCTCCCTTAGCCACCCAAGCCTAGAGGGAAGTGGGGCGGTCGTCTTCCCTCGCTGGCGACCTCCTCCGTCTGCTTACGCGCATTCTCCCCACGAGCGTCCGGGCATGTATGGGAGTGTAATGCATATTGGGGTAAGGTACAGAACCATATAGTTGGAAATTTAACAATCACTAAACTCACACGAGTAATTTTAGGTACAAAATACTCCAATCTCAATAGATGAACAAATATTTCTAGAATATTTTTGCTGACAAAGGTTTTGTTACTGCACCGCAGTTACTCAACTTCTCTTCTTCTGACGCCTAGAAGGTTCTGCTTAAATTGAATGATTCAAATCACTTAGATTTGAACATATGAAGTAGTGTCCACATGCTTTTTACGATCATAAACGGCGAAAGAGCCAAATTGTAAATCGGTTCAAGCGGGGTGCTTTGACGACACCCCTGATAGCGCACCGCTCTACGCTCAGCGCTCGCTCCAGGCCTCGCTAGCCGGCCGTCAGAGATGCACTGCACTCACTGCTTCCAAATGACCTCCCGAGTCTACAACTTGGAGTCCTTTCTTTCTTTCTTGCTTGCTTTTCTTTCTCCATTAATTAGTCCAAATTGAAACTTATTTAATATAATTTTATATTCTATTACGACCTTGGAGTCTTGAAAATGCGTCACAAGTTCTAGTGACATACTGGCTGTGATGAAATTGGAAAATTACAAAAAACACTTTCTTCGGGAATCGTTACTACTGAGGCCAGAACGAGAAAGGGAATTATTTATTGCTAAAGTTATAAGGAACATGCCAGAGTGCTTTTCTTTCAACTGAAATGACCCACCTATACATCAATCTTTAGAGTAGACAGATATAAAAATTGTTGAACAATGGTTGCCAAGTGGTAATTAGGGATTTATAATCACTACTCAGGTATCTGGCAAGGTATTTGGACACACTAAGATTTGATGAATCAGCTGTAAAAGTATATGATGCTAGTCAGATTTCTCATATTGGGTAGTTACTCGAAAGATTTCTGGAATCTTGGGGGCGGTTCCAAATGTAGAAATGTAGCAAACAGTACATTCTGCATTGGAGCAGCCTCGACTAACCTACGAGTTAAAGGAGGCAATAAGTTCAATGCAACTTTGGTTTTATTCACCAAATATATGTCGGTACAGTCGGGAGTGAAAAATATCATTAAAAGGAATGAAAATTGTGGATATTCATATTTCAATTTAGGGGAAATATTTTCGAACTGACCATCCTTCTACAAATCTATCTCAACTGTACAGTATACATTGCTTCCTTTCGAGTAAATAATGAATCAGAATTGTGGTAAATGAGTCTAATAAATAACGTTTGAATACATTGAACTACAGTACAGCGACTTAAACATTAGATTATGTTTTTGTCAAAGCCTTAAGAAAACAAGAGAACTAATTTACATTGTTTCCTCAAGTATTCTGATACTTTAACTAATTCGTTTTCCGTAAACCATTTACGAGACCATGATATTACATGGGTAACGTTAGTAATACTAAATGAGTACCTACGTACACGAATGAAGGCTAAAAGCCATAAATGAATTCCGATGAAACAGCTGCAGTAGAATTCTCGTATTCTATATTTCCCAAAGGACGAGTTATTGCAGGACAAATATTTATCATTTTAATGTTTACTCAACTAAAAAACATGAATGTCTTTCTGAAAATAATACAACGTATACATTGTGCTCTCTCGAATGAATTTATGTTCCTTAATACAACAGAGCTTGTGTGTTAGAAGTTGGCTTCGTCGTGAATACATCTTAAGAACATTTGTTGCTCACATGTAAAGTGTGTCTAAAGATAACCTAAACACTATCACTACACATTTAACACCTTTAGTACTAATCAGTGACTTTCATAGAGGTACATATAAATTAATCTAACTTATTGCAATAATCGAACTAATATTTTTTTTTCATTTCACCACTATTTCAATCGCTGGCGACAAATATTCCTTATCCGACAAATATTCCGACTTACACTGGCCCTTCATGAGAGAACCCATTAAGCTTGTCGTTAAAATTATGCAAATCTTGTACTCTTAATTACACAATTTTTGAAAACTGGCATTACTTTGCCTTCATGAACGTGTTCTTCTGTTTTCAATAGTGCTTTTACAAAATGAAATATAGTTTCTACAATTTCATGCTGTCAATAGTAATATGGTAGAAGTTTAGGAAGTTTGTATTTCTAAAAAACATACTCATGTGCATTCTCGTGTGAGTATTATTAGTAGCACAAAAAGGAATAAATGTGGTTAGGTATACGAAGAAGAGAATCGAAAACTTCCCGATTGGCAGGAAACACAAAGGGCGCTTGGCGACGGGCGCCTGGCGTTCGACCGCACGCGGAGGTGTGTGGCGAGGAAGCCCAAGCAAATGTTTGGGCTGGCAGCGGCCGCTGGGCCGTAAACGCTCCGCTCCAACCACTTGCTCCCCACCCGACGCTTGCGAGCGACTGGCGCGCGCCATCTCGCCTCCGAGGCTTGGGCTCAAGCGCAGCACATTGGCTGTGGTGAACTGAATTCAATGTACTAATGGATAATTAAAACATGTAATAATTTAAAATGTAATATATGAAAAAATAATATAATTAAGTAATTAAAACGTTAAATAATATTAATAAAAATGTTAATATTAAAGTGAATTATTAATTGTCAGTTTTGGTTACTCTTGCGTTAATGAATAAATATTAATAAATAATTCGATAATAATAACCACCATCTCGATGAGGTTTCCATTCAGATTCCCTGATCCGTGAGCAAATGCTGAGATGGCCCCTTGTCTTGCTTCTGGACATAAATGTAACTTCAAATTAACTTCTCCCCAAAGCACGTCACACACAGTTTTAACTGTTTTTGACGTTAATTAATTAATTAATTAATTAAAATATAATTGTGTTTAATTATCTATCGAGACTAATGATAAAAAACAGTTAAATTCGTCAAAAAATTAACAAAATGAAATAGAAAGCTTATAATTGGTCACAACAAAAATAACGCAAATTAATAGGAAGTAAAATGTGTTTTCTAAATATTTTATTAATAAATAACATCTATGAAAGCTTGTCCATACTCTTTTATCATGTTTCGATCACATTTGCAACAAAACTGTCTTTTTACTTCTAAACTATCAGTTCTGGTAGACGAAAATAAGCAATGTCACAATTATTTTAAATCTAGGATAGGCTACTAACTGCCTTTCACAAAAGCATTGCTTCTTTTCTTTTTTCATCACAACAATGCATTTGCAGTTTTTACATTATAACTGCAATTTATATTCAATCGAATGAACGATTGTTGGACGAACAAAGTCATTAAGTGAGTGATGAAGTCAACCGAAATATATTAGGTGTACCACAGAAATATGCAAGCACTAATGCTATTATATACTATATATTATTTTAATTATCTCCAGCAATTTCAATCACGTTGAATGTTGGCCTCATTCTCGTTGGCTTTTGTTAGTTGTGGAGAGTCAAATTCGGGAGATACTCCCCTCAGTCATCCAGTTCGGGAAGGGAATAGAAAGCGACGATCCGCAGCCCTTTACGTAGGGTATTGCTCTACAATTCTCCTGGAAGAGATGAGAGGCAACCGCGCAAGCGATGGAGCGGAGCAGTCGCTTTACGAACTCCACGCCGGCAGGCGGAGCAACCTCCCAGATCAGCCGCCCCTGACCGCGCCCTCCGGAGCGGGCGCGTCGCCTCCGGGGTGGAACATACACTGCACATCTTCACTGGATTGAGAGGATCGTGGTTGCGAGGGAAATGTTCTCTTCTAGAGGGAATTACGAAAGGGAATAATTATGAAATAAAATTTTTGGGGGGGACGGAATATGAGAAAACAAACGGAGTCAAGCTAAAAAACTACTTAACTAGTAAATACGTTAATCTGAATAATTAAAATTACGTAAAAATGTCATAAGTATACTACGGGCAGTAACTCGCGCACTCAAAGCCTCTGGCAGGCAAATCCCCTTGGGATTGTGTCGATCATTAGGACTCTTATAGCGCCCTTGGTGTATAAATAACTATTTGGTTGGGGGTGACTATGAACGCATGATACAAATTATTATATGGTATTGAGCGAATGAAAGGCGGGGAAACGGGAGAACCTCGAGAACATCCGTTGCGAACTCTGTGCTCCATGTGGAATTTCCATTGGACGACCCGAGATTTCATTCATAGTGCACGAAAGTGAGTGCCGTTACTACTAGAGCTATTCATTCTTAATTTAATCTCTCGGAAGATGATCAGTCAGTTCTTGGTTGACTTGGCACGGATTACACCCCTTCCTCAATGCACATGTCTGTTACGTATCGGACGCAGGAGCGTTTTCTGCGTTGCACGTGGCAGCTTCTCCGCAGCCGCCCCGCCCCGCCCGCCCGCCCGCCGCCCGCCCCGCCCGCCCCGCACGCCGGCGCGGCGTCATCCGTCCGCGACGGCATTGTTCGGACGAGGAGGCGGCGGCGCGCGATCGCCCACTTTCGCACTCAATTGCGTTTCCAGCACCCCCCCCCCACTTCTGCAGCCGCCCGGCGACGCGCTCCAGACGCCCAGGCCCTGCAATCTTCCTGCAATTCACCTTCTTACCCTCACTTCGTACTGTTGTACCCACGTAATTTTTGGAATGCCTGGCACGCGACATCACGATACACGAGGGAGTGTAATCACACCATTGCAGAAGCTGGATGGGACAAGTATCATAGCTCCTACAAGACATTTGAACACGCGTCTTGTCGAAAGAAGCGACAAGGAATTATAAACAATTAATATAGCTATAGGTTATATGAAGTCTAAAACACACATTTTGATGTCCTTTTTATCTTTTTAGGCATTTTGGTGAGAAAATTTTCTAAGCCTAAAAGAAGTATAAATGTCTGAATAAGTAAAATGGATACATATCAAACCAGCAATTTCTGCAATTGTTCAAAT